GCTAATTTATTATTAATAATAGAGTAAATTTCTTACTTTTAAACAGACACAGAACATACGAAGTTGTATAATAATAAACAAATATCAAACTAAAAGACAAATAACGTATGTTTGTTAGTTTTGATTTAAATTGTAAGATCAAAATAACTATCTGGCACAAGCGTACTTACTTCTCTGTAAACCTGAAGTAGAATGTAACTACGAAAAGAATTTGTATTTATATATAAGGGCAAGTACACTAGCAAGAAGCTTAAACTAACCAATTATTATTAGATATATCGATATGAACTATATCTATTATAACTCTACTATTCAAAGTAATTTCTCATTTAGTTATATTAGTTTTAAGTATATTGTCATGCTGAATCACTAGAATAATTAGATAATATTCATAGTGATACATATTTATGTTAAATATTTTAAAAATTTTTTCTCCATTTCTAATTGCACTTAATTTTTGATATTTATTTTCATATTTTAAAATTACAAAGATTTTTGCGCGCTCATGAACTGGACCTGAATGTTTGAAGTGTTCTGATTTAATATCATTAATATAATTATTATCAAATTTTTCATTACATATTTCAATTATATTCGTGAAAGGCTGAATTTTTAATTTTTATAGAATGCAATTTTTATTATATTTAAGCAATCATGCATATATATATTTTTCGTTGGAAGTTAGTGTTTTAGTCAAAAAATAAAGAATTAAAATCTTCTTTACGATCAATACGAGTTGTGTTTTATTACTATATGTTTACGTTAATTTATATAGCTTTTTAAATATTAGAAATCGAGATTACATCTTCAATGATTCCAGAAAAAAGGCGAGGATAAAGTTCAGATCTGGTTATAATGCTGTTATACAACATAAACGGTTCATAAATATTTACTTTTATTTAATACAAGTATTTTTTAATATATATAATATATTTTATTTGTTTAACAAATGATACTTCTTAAAATACTGTTGTATTTATAAGCTACTTATTCTAAAATTTGCATATATTTCGAAGTCAATTTAAAATCATTGTGAATTTGAATGATATCTCCTTTTACATTATATTAAAATTTCTTACATTTTATCTTAATACCGAAGATTGGTAAAATTATAAAAAATATGTTACATAATGTACATAATATTATATTATAATATTATTACATGATGAAATATAACATTAGAAAAAATCTATAGTGACAGTATTTTTTTTGTACTTTACCTTT